CATTTGGAATGTGTTAGCACAAATGTTTGTGACTGTGCACACAGGTAGTGAAAGACTCAGAAAGAGTACACCCAATTATATAAACTTTCTATGAATTTATGTTAGGGATAAAATATATAAATCATATTTTCATATGGATTTTTGGTAAGTCTTTTATATAATGTAAATAGTAATAGTAATTATCTAAATCAATACTTTTTCCCAAAGTTTGAATTTTCCATGTTAGATATTTATTTGGAGCATATAATTCCATAATACATCTAGTAGTTCAATATATTTTTATAATATATAGGAAATTTGTTTTATATTTTCTGAATTTCCCTTACTAGAAAGTTAGCTTTTCAAAACTCAGATGGCTTGTAACTAGAAAAATTTTACACCTTTTTTAAAAAACAGCTTGATTGACTCTGCTGTCAGTTTTTCTGTTCACAAACTATGCTACAAGCTGCCACTTCATAATAATTTTCTTAAAGAAGCGAAATACAACCAAATAAATATGTCACCATAAATAGGTAGAAAATTTTTTATTGAAATTGATTTTTGGAAACATTTTCACATTTATGTCATTCAAAATAAAGGTTAAAACAACACAAGGAATACCTCCAAATAAATATACATAGAAATTACAGATCTGAATTAGATTTTTTCAGAAAAAAAATGTTTAAATCAAAATCATAGAGAATTAGAGTTACAAGTTCACGTACAAAGACTGCATATCTTCCCTCTCCCCATTGAGCAGCTGAGAAAACAAGGCCAGAAAGGTGAGGTTATTTTCTGTGTTCTGCACAGCAAACACGGAAGGCCAAGGCCTCCAGCCTTCCTCAGTGCCCTGCTCTTATGCCATGCTGCCTTCCTTGCTTCCATTTTTTGAATATGTACTAACAGTAATAGCTAATAAGTATTGAAAGCTTACTGTGTGCTATAATTTCTTGCATGTCCTACCTCCTTTAATCCCCACAGCGACCCTATGAGGTTTTCCCCATTTTACAGATGAGGAAACAGTAGTAGACATGCAGAGTTTTCATCTTTAGGGTAAAAAGTAGAAATACTTCTTGTTAAACTAACTTCTGTCTTCTAACTTGACATCAGTTTGTTTAGATTATGATATTCAATAACCTTTTAAAAATACAGTTCTATCTATAATGAATGCCGTTTTACAGGGATTACGGCAGGCATTTGTGATGATATACAATGCATCAATTTACCTACCTGCTATTATATAATTGGTCTTCTAACATTTAGTCTTAGTCTCCAGTCCTTTCTTCATGCTGCATATTACAGTAGAATTAGCTTTCAAAAATGCAAATCAGATCCCATCACTTTCCTGCCAACACAGCCTATGGCCTATGCCAGTAAATCAGACTGAAAGACCCAGTTTCCATGGGATTGCAGATGCAAGAGCCTCAACGAGCCTCACGACAGTCTGGTAATAGGAGCTGTATCTGCAAGACGAAATACTTCACAGTTAACACATAGAGTCACCAACAGAACAATCTGCAAATGATATCAACAGTTCTAGAACGGGAAATAAAAACAGCGATTAAATAAAATGTTCAGCGTTAACTCATGACGAGAAATACAGAGTCAAACACAAATTATAAAATAACCTCTGAACGGATCCACTAAAAATAATTTGCCTTTGGTGAGGGGAATTCAGTGGTAGGAGATGGGGATATACTGTTTTAACCTTTTGTGATTCATACACAGTTACCTGAGCACTAGAGTAATGAGGGTTCTACATATTTAAATTAAAAACAAATGTATAAGTAACTAGCTTGTTCATTCTAGATGGAAAGTGCATCTGAATGTGTGGGTATTCAGGAGTTAAAAAAAGATACTCATGGCAGCTTATAAACCAGGAAATCGTCATCAGAATCTCTTATACATCACGTTACAGGTTACAGAACTTTCACGCGCTCTCTCAGTTGATCTGATAGCAACCCCAGCTTCATTTTAAGATGAGGAAACTGAGGCTCAGATAAATTATGATTTGCCTAAGGTCATACAGCTAATTTGATCAGTACACGTGCACTATATATATTTACTTATCTGTTTTCCCTGTCAGATTCTGAGCTAGGTACACAAACAAGACTATATAATCTAGGCCTTCTGTTCCAACTGGCTGCTATTAGATGACTCTAGCTCAGAAAAGAGGGGAATTATGTCACCTTCTCCTTTTCGGTGTCTTGGGGGATGTCTGGAAAGGAGTGCACCTAACTGAAAATTCATACCAAGATTTCAGGAAGCTCATGTAAGTGGTGCCATTGCAAAAGCATGAGGAGGAAAAAAATCAGCTTTCCAATTTCAATTTCTGTGGAAGGAGGTAGATTCCGTACATCATATAACCTTGTCCCCAAGATGTGGCATTTGATGCCGTGACACATTTCATTTGGATTAGCTTTTAACATTCCACCTCTTTTGGAGTCTTTTCGCATACTTGACTTTGAGCAGAATGCCAGTGATCAGTGAGACAGTTCAAACGGAACGTGACGTGTGTATTTGTTAAGGATTGAGTGAGCAGTCAGAACTAACATGCCAAGTAAGAATCTCAGAGCTCGTTTGAACTAACCTTAAGCCTATATAGTAAGGGTCCCAGAGGCAACAGTAACTTAAGAACAAACTATATTATCAGAGCTTCTGAATCCTTCAGCATGGAAACTTTCATAGTTGAAGGGAAATTTCATGCTAATTAAAGGACCTGTATTTTCCTTAACTAATGAAGAAGAAAGCAGTCATTCTCTGAAAAAAAGAAAAACCCACATAATCTGTGTGGAATGGAAACACATTTTTTTATTAAACAGGACTCTATATGGAGCTCTTGAGAATGTTATAGTAAAGCTTAGATAAATATTTCATGTAACATCTTAAGATGCTCTCATTTATAGTAATTTTAGTGCTCTGACTTCTGTTTGTTTTCAGATTTGAAAAAGCAAACATTTTCTATGCTGATTTATATCTGGAAGCTGCCAATTGAGCCCAATTTCATAAGGCTTATCTTTGTGAATAAATGAAATAGGATAATAAGGAGCAGCTCTATGTACTTGTATGTCTGTCTCTTTAGACAGAAGCAATGTTGAAAGATCTTTATTTTTTTCTTTCTGAGATGTAAACCACTTTGTAAATGCCCTGTCCCATGTAACCCCCCTAAATTTGAGCTGACCTTAGAGCCAGGCATCTTCTTACCCTCCCACTGCCTCAATAGACTCTCTCTGGAAGCTTCTTGAGTAGTCAGAAACCGGCCCCTCTCGGCAGCCTCCATTCACTGATGCCTTCACCTGACACACGGGACCTCTCACCAACCCAAACCCCTGGGTTCTCAGAGCTGGTTTCCCAACTGCCCTTTGCTAGTATGCTGGTTTAATGATGTTAGCTTTCTCTTAGATGCGCATCTTGATTTGGTGTATATTTGGTCTAAATGAGTGTTTCATAGCTCCTTTTACATACTTATATTTTGATGTCTCAGAGTAGTTTGCCATACCTACCCGTGCCAAACCGTCTGCTAGGCAACAGATAGGACCCTTGCATCATGAGGCTGGTGTTTTAGCTGGGAAGAGAGATGATAAGTGAGCCAAAAAATTGTAAAATTAGTACAAAAGTAAAATTAGATAATGACAGGTTATGAAAAGTGCTGTGAAGGAAAACGAGTAAGAAACGGCAAGGGGCGGGGCCCCTGCAGGCGCCTGGCCGTTGGTGGGTCGGTGGTCGGTCTGCCGGGGAAGGTGGACCTGTAGGATGAGGCGGAACGGGAAAATAGAGGTGCTTCTGAGAAGGGGAGCAGAGAGAACGGGTTTTGTTGAGGGAAAGAGCCTGATGTTATCTTCTAGGAGCTGTCAGAAGGCCTGTGGACTTACAGGGTTGTGAGGAGGAAAAACACCATACAAAATGGGGTTACAGTGAGAGAAGCAACACCAACCACAGACAATCTGACGCCACCATCAAGTGTTTGCATTTTATTCCCAGGATCAGTGGGAAGCGTGGAAGGGTTTTGTGCAAGAGATAGATATGCTCTAATTGTTTTTAGAGAGAGAGAGAGAGAGAGAGAGAGAGAGAGAGAGAGAGAGAGAGAGAGAGAGAGAGAGAGAGCGCGCGAGAGAGCTGAGTGACACCACAGCAGAGTGTGGGAAAAGAAGACGGTGGCTGGGGCTAGGCTTTTGGAGACATGAAAATGGAGGAGAAAGGGAGGAGCTCAAGATACGTCTCAGGACTAGAGGCAGCAGGATGTTCTGCGGGAGCGATTGCGTACATAGGACACATAAGGGAGGGAGGGAGGAATCATGGAGTCAGTGTTTCTGACGCGAGCATGGGGTGAGTGGTGGTGTCATTGATACAGATGGGGCGACCATGGGCAGAACAGGTTAGCGAGAGGAAGTCACACTCTGTTTCGGAATAGCAGAATACACATTAGACCCTCCAGTCATTTACAGTGGACCTGTAAGGGAGGGTCTGAATCGGGGACTCAGAGAGAGGTCTGCAGCACTGCTTAGGAATCAAGGTGAACAGTCGTTGTTCTGAGAGATCAGAAGGGAGAAAAACAGTTATGAGCAGGAGAAAGCTGGGTGTTGGCCTGAGCTTGAGAGAGGGGTGGGATATTTGAGTGACCAGAGACATGCGTCCCAGAGATTAGGAAGTGAGCAAGCATGCTCTGAGAGGACTTGTACCCCATGTCCATCCTGGTAACAATAGGGTTTGCAGTAAAGGGGGTACTAGCTCTTGCCCTTGCTTTCCGTAGGGACCTCATCTATAAGGTTACTTACCTTTTCTTCCTCTTCTCTTTTCCCTAGTTCAAGTCATTGATCCATTGGATTCCCAGGAACTCTTCAATGAGAGTTCATACTTAGGACCTGGGTAGCCCTATGGGGCCCTCCAAAGTCCTCCGCACCGGGTTTGAGATGTCTTTAGATGTTTCTTTAGGGGACTCTCACAGCATCAGCCTTCTCCCCACAATTCCATGTCCACTTTTGTCACCTGCATTTATATATTCCCATTTATTTCCTACTTAGGTTTTATGGCAGGCACACAAAGAAACCCTCCGATGTCTCAATATGGACCTCAACAGACAGGACCATCCATGTCGCCTCATCCTTCTCCTGGAGGCCAGATGCATCCTGGAATCAGTAGCTTTCAGCAGAGTAACTCCAGTGGGACTTACGGTCCACAGATGAGCCAGTATGGACCACAAGGTAAAAAAAGAAGTTCCTCCAATATGCATTGCAGTAGGTTGTAGAAATTTTAATATGTTTGCCCTTCAGGATGTTAGTATTATAAACATCTTTTAATACCCTGTTGTTTGTTACCTGACAGCTTTGTGAGGCTGGTACAAACCCACAGTCCTTTAGTTGCCCATAGTGATGGGAAAATAATTATAGCAGCTCTTCATTAAGCATTCATGCATCAGACACTGTGGTAAGTGCTCTTCCTACGTGTGTTAGTAATAAAGGAGTAAATTCTTGTTTCTGTAATACAGTTCTGAATGCTTGTTGAGAAAAAGACACAAATCTTGTCCTCAAAAAGTTTCTTGTTAGCGCCAGCCAAATGGCTCAGTTGGTTAAGAGCTCACTCAAGAGTGCGAGCTCTGAGCAACAGGGTCGCCGGTTCGATTCCCGGCCGGAGCTGAGCTGCGGAGGCAGGATGGCTCAGTTAAAACAAAAAAAAAAAAAGGTTTTTTTTAAAACTTGAGTTTCATTATGTTGAATTCTGATTTGCCCCCTCCCTCACTGTAATTATCCTTACAATACTATGCTCACTATTCAGAAAGATGGCATCCCATCAAACCTCCTCCCAGTTTGTCTCTAAAGCGCTGTATCAGGTAAACAGTAGTTCTCATTTTCCCAGTCATTACAAGTCGCACTCTTAGAAGACGGGACAGCCTCAAATGGACATGTCTTCTGAAGAGGAAGATAAGGCAAGAGTAGAAAAATAAGCGGAACCATGCCCAGAAGGCACCGTTTACATTCTGCCCTCCTGGAAGTCAGTGTGTGTTTTGTCATATACATGTAGAATTCTTTTATCAAGGTTTTTAACCTTGATATGTATGTGTATACTCATATATATTTTTTTCCTAAGTCACTTTTGGCAACAACGCGTGTGAATTTAACACCTTCTTTATATTTTGTTTATTTAAATTAGACATTAATGGATAATTTAGAGAGAATGAGATAATCTGGCACAATTCCCAGCGTTTCCTCCCTTCTGAAAACACCAGGAATATTCCAAGTGAAAGTGATGAATTTCCACGAGGATGCTGTAGTAAAATGTTTACCGCCTCCACATAAAGTCAGGTCGGCGGTGTTAAAGCCTGTTGTTTCCTAGAGGCCTTCGCATCTGTTGCACAAACCATCTCTTTTGAAGCTCATGCAGCCTCCCCAGCCGTTGAGTGAGTACCTACGAGGCCAGACAAGTCTACAAGGAGGCTCGGGCACCTTCCCAGCTTTTTACCTGGAAAGAAAGCTTTCCTTTCTGTTTTATAGTACTTTGCAGTTTGAAAATTGAGTTATGTTGTTTAGTTTTAAAGATCTCTTTCTGAAGGAATGTAAGCACCTTCAATACTAGCAATAGCATCATTTCCTTGCCTTACACGGCTTTGCTATATTATATTCAACTACTTCTGTTTTTAAGAAAACTATTAGAACACCCAAACATAAAACTCTGTACGTGGCCCCTTCCTGCCTCTGTCCATACGTGTAGTCAGAGTGGATACAGACGTTGCGTTTTGCTTGATTCTCTTGACACCGCGTCATAAATGGTTTTTCATGTTGTTAATCCCAGTGAGCCCTAGGAATTTAAGTCCCACTTGACACTGACAGTCTGCCCCGTTCCCTGTCAGCCCCAGAGAGTTGTGACATGTAGCAGAACTGGGTTTCTCTGGCTGTCATGAAGAAAAGAAAACTTTAGTGAAAGTTGGAAAGCAGTTAATAAGGTGTGATGGGCACAGAAAATGGGGGCTTTTGCTCGGAATGTAACGGGCCAAGGTCAGAGCCTTGTCCTTATACCTGGGGGTAGCTGAAGGCCTAGGACTTAACCATTAAAGCTCACAGGGCTTCATGGGATTTTCAAAGTTGGTCTCTGTGTCTCTGCTCTGAAATAATTCACCCTTGTAACGTCACGCTCCCCTGCTCTCATAATAAGGGAAGAGCCTCAGACTATCTGATGTGTCTTTTGTAAACAATGAAGAAAGCACTTACGCTATAGGAGTTAATCACAGGGAAGGTATTTCTATAGAATGGATTTCTTTTTTTGAACAAAACCCTCAGTTTTCCAGAATTGCTGACTGTTTAGGGTTCTCATGCAAGCTGTGTCCCTGGACAGTTGCTTACTCTCTAGGAATTACTTTTCATCTAGAAGATGAGAAAATTCGATTATACCTTAGAATTTGCTTCTAATTCTAATGTTCTATGAGTCTAAATTTTGCTTCAATTCTGGAGCTTCGGATATAAGTGCAGCCCACTGGGTCTGCCACATAACATCTTGGTCGTAGAGTTAAGAAGGTTTTTTGTTTTGAGGTTTTTCCAAGGCATAAATACTGAGTTAAGGTTGGTATTAGAAGCAATTTAAACTAAGGATGGTAGTTTCCAGCCTTGGCACTTTCTAACTTTGAAAGAAAAGGTCTGCATATCTGCGCTCGGAAGCTTCCTCCTCCTCCCAGGTGACATCGCCAGCACATTCCACTGTGAGGTGTGTGTCTTCCTGGGTTCCTTAACTGGTTCCAAGTGCTGTGGGCCTCAAATCAGTGTCCCCGTACTCCGTTCAAAATTGCTCACCTCTCTTTGTATTTGTCCTCTCCTTGGCAAACACCAAATGACAGAAAATTATGCTTGAATATGTATCGTTCAGTTCAATAAGTGTTCTGAGTTTGCATTTCTCTTTGTTGATCCTTCTAAACAGGGACCCAAATGAAGTAATTTTTTTCCTTCCTTCTTTTAACTACTCAAATTATATGTAAAATATTCAACTTGAGTCTTTGTGTTATACGTTTTAATATCTCTACAAAGAATCACTTGTTCAGTGACCCACACACGTCATCAGTCTCATCTTCTGTTTCTGTTACTGACTAGATGACTTTCTTCTGGGTTAGTTTTGTTCTTAAGACATCTCAGGAGAAAATACTTCACGGTTGTTTTGCTAACCATTTTATTGTCAGGAGCAGCTTCTCCAAAATTGTTTAGTAATAACAACAAACATTAATTAAATATTACTGTGTCCTGGGTCCTATTCGGAGTGTTTTTCATATATTAACTCCCTTAATCCTCCCAACTTGCTATGTGACAGGTACTGTTATGACTCCACTTGACAGATGAGGAAACTGAGACATACAACAGGTAAACAACTTCGCCAGGATACACAACGGTCATGCCAGCATTCAAATTCAGGCAGACTCGCCCATTTTCTTGATGAATGGGGAACCCGTGATATTATCCCCATTTTGCAAATGAGCAGGCGAAGTAATTTACCCACAGTCCCACAGCTAATAAATGGCAGAGCCAGGGTTCAAACCGAGGGAGGTGTCAGAGGCCACTCACACAGTCACTGGTGTGTCGTTTCCCACGCCTTAGATACTCCCCTTCTCACCGGCTCATTCATTCCTTGATCCACTAGGGAAACAAGACAAACTACTCGTCTTCTAGGAGCAAGGAACATTTTAGAAATAAATCCACAATGCTAGAGATTAAGAAAAAAAAATTCCCATGAAGTTAAGAAGAGGAAATTTTTAGAAATGTATATTAATACTATAAAGTCTGAATTATTAAATATACAAATGGGATGAAACCAATCTGAATGTGTAAAAATGTTTAATTACAGTATATTTTATGAAACAGTACTTTTCTACCTTCGAGCAAGCACATTTAATAACTACCCTTACAAAGTGTTTGCAAGTAGAGAGGGCCATAGGGACTTGCTTTAATAAATAGAAAAGGATTATGTAATTAACATGTTAATAATTAACAAATGAATTTGGATGGGAAGATGAGAGCTGAAATCAATTCCATCTTGATAGCCTTTATATTTCTTAAGGAAGAGCACTGCCTGTCTTGTTTTTTTGTACTTTAGAACAGTGTCTGTCACACTCTCTACAAATATTTTTTGTGTATTTGTCACTAATTGTAAAAGAAATGAAGGTCTAGCCTTAGTTTTGCTATGAATGAGTAGTATTATCTTGGGCAACTAACAAAAACCTGAGCCTAGATACCCCCTAGTTGTCACCCACTTGTGTGATAGTGTCTGGGCCACCACACACAGCTGCACACTTTATACACTGACGCAGCCCTGTTTTTATGCCTTAATTTGTATAATGTGTCTCTAAGGAAACAAGGAATTTATGAGTAGGTGAGTCTGATAAGCCTTTTACTTCTAAATTACATGATAAAAGGTGTTTTTCAGACAAGGTAGAGGCTTCTCTAAAATAAATTAGGTGCCATCTGAAATCTTCCTTCTCCCATCATTAAAATAATATTTCTCAAAAATTCAGCAAAGCCAAACTTTAAATGATACCTCGTTGAAATGAATGCAGTTCTAAAATAGTGAATTGCACCTTAATAATCTAACAGCTGTTTCAATTCGAGAAGAACAATGTATAAATGTCACTAGTTGGCGACTGACTAGCTACTGGAGAGTACCTTATGGGCCCACGACAACCTCGGTGTCACCATGACCCAGGATTTCAGTCTCGGCTCTTGTAAGCCAGGACTTCAGTCTTATTATTGAATTAAGCTAAATTTGGCCTCTCTTCCACACCAGTGAGGTGCGTCCGCCCTGTAGATTCCCCTCACCCCCCACCCTGCTGCTGATTGACAAGATCTTATCCTTTGGCTTCCCAAAGGCCGGTGCAGGCCACTCCCTCCTCAGCTCATGCATTTTGTTTTTTTCTTAAAATGAGTTGTAACACCCTTGATGTGTTTACAGCTTCCCATTACCTTAACCTTCCTTAAATTGACAGTACTAGGCAAAAGTCTTAATTCCACATTCTGTGCTGCTTTGTCGTTAAAGAAATATGCAGAATCTCCAGCTTGCTAATATTAGAAAAAACAAATGGAATGGATCATTTTATAGCAAAAGGTAGTTAATGCAGTCTTTTCACGCTCAAATTTAGCCTTCAAGTTATAAGAGTTAAGCATGAATTTTTCTTAACAGACTGATAATCATGATTTTATCAAAACCTGGGAGTTAGGAAAGAAATAAAGAAAAT